ATCCTGTCAGGACGCTGGGACACGAACTGAGGGCCTTGATTCAATGACCAGCGATCCCAACCTCCTGCTGTTATCACCACAGCTTAGTGTCCAGCTGAATCCCCGATCCAGGTTCTGGGGACAGCTGAGCCTCACCACACCCCACTTCAGACTCCCGGGGGAAGAAGTCCGACTGGGCACATTGGGCTGGAGTCCACCTAGGTCCAATCAACTGGGTTCCAGGTGTGTCCAGGAGGAAAGGGTCAGGTACCTCAAAGAAGCGGGGGGGCCTGGTGGAGACAGATGACCCCATCCCCCAGGAGGCTGAGCACGCAGCACAGACAGCACTGAGACAGACAGGTCAGGTGTCATTCTCCTCCAGATGAAGTGACAATGAGACCTACAGAAAAGGCTGACCTAGGCAGGGTGTCAGCAGGAATGACAGGCTGTGGCTCTCTGCAGGTCCCTCTCCAAGGTGCAGATGTCACAGCTGTTTGTCAGGTCAACCTGTCCCCTGGGCACACACCTCGGTGTTGCCCCTGAGCTGGGTGTCAGGGGGCTGTGCAGCGGGAGCAGAGGCCCCAGCGCATTCTCAGAACTTTAGGAGAGCTGCGTTTGCAACAGAAGCGCCGCCTCAGCTGCTCATGGCAGCTGCTTCCCTGATGACCTTTTCTAGTCCTTAAAACTCGCCTCACCCCATCTCACCCCATCAGCCAGCCTGACACAGGACAAGGTCACATGTGTGTCTTTCCAGATGGGAACAGGGTGGAGACCTGGAGAGTCTGGGGAGTTTTCTCGGGGCCTCTCCCAAGGCCTGCCCAGTAGGATCTGGGCAGGAGAAGCCCCCTGCTGACCACCTTTCAGGTATATCCACGGTGCCAAGTTCACAGGTCCTGCGAGTGCAGGAAGGAGTCAAGAGAACCAACACATGAATCCCACAGGCCAGGCAAAAGTGGGACAGACGGCACTTCTTGAGCACCTGCCAAGTCCAGAGTTCTGACCTCCATGCCAGGAAAGAGGAGGACGAGACTCAGCCCTGCCTTGGAAACTGCCCGTCTGCCTGGACAGGAGGGACATGTATGGGCTGGGAGTAAGAAGGTGGGAAACGTCTAAACGGCCAAGTGACCTAGTCACAGTCTCTGAGGAGCTGTGTGGAGACAGAGGGCCATCCAGCAGGGCTCTTGGGGCGAAAGAAGGAGGCGAGCAAAGACAAGGAGGTGGGAAGGCAAAGGACACGTTTGGGCCCCTGGAGCGGGGTTCACAGGTGGGAACGCGGCAGAGGAGTTCAGAATTGGCAGGTCAGAAATGCGAGGTCTCGAATGGTGGGTTAAGGAGAATGAGTGTGACCCCATAAGTAATGGACAAGGGGGGAGTTGGAGAGGAACGCAGTGGGTAGAGAGGAAACATCTGGAAGGGGTGTGCCCATGGATTCCAGGATGTGAGCAGGAACTAGTGGAGTTGAGAGGAACCAGTTGGAAGCCTTGGCCGTAATTCAGGATCCAAATGCCTAGAGCTTGGATTAAGGTGGGAGGACTTGGGAATAGACATTTGAAATATCACAGAGAGTCCATGGGACTTGGTAGCTCATTTGCTGTGGGAAGGAGAAGGAAAATATCAAGCTTGAATGATTAAGTGGAATCAATGTCAGAGAGAGGGAATGTTTTCCACATCCACAGATCAACACATCCACCAGGAGGCAGAAGGAGAAGGTGATCAGTGAATTCCATACAGTCTCTGTCCTTGGGGAAGGCACGTCCTCTTCTCTCACCTTTAGCTCTTCCAGAAAAGGCCCCAAGAGTCATCATAGAGATATCACGGAGGAGGTGAGAAAAGAACATTTCATTGCCAGCCTGTAACAGGTACTTTACCCACAGCCTCAGGAATCCTCAAAACAACCCTAAGAGCTCTGGGAGAGGCCTGGCTGCTTGGGGCAGGGGCTCTGAGCATGACAGTGCTTCAAGTGTCTTGTCCAGGCTAGACAGGTGGGTTGCAGAAAGCCCTGGGGGGATTGAGGGCCAGCCTTAGGCTAGGGAGCCACCGTGTGCTCGGGCTGTCAGGAAACTGAGCCGGGACAAGGACCTCCTATCAGGACATCAGGCAGAGAAGAGATGTCGGGGCCCAGGGGGGAGTTTATTTTTGGCTGAGTTGAGTTTGACAGGACCGTGAGGCCCCAGAGACAGGCAACTCTAAGCTCAGGCGAGAGTTCAGGGCTTCAGTCCAAGGCTTGGGGTCACCTGTCAGACACTGTGACTTGAGACCACTGTTCAAATTCATTCTTCTTTAGAGCAAAGTTGACATTGGTTTGACTCAAACAGATTTGCATTCTCATCTCATCCAGCTTATTTGGTAGGAATAATAAGCTGGCAGAGGAATGCTAATGAGAAAAGGGATTGGAGAGTCACTTTATAACTAATCAAGTTATGATTATGGATGCCCAATTAAGGTGGGGGAGGCATTTTTCCTGAAGGACAGGACCAGGGTTGGGTTTTAGAGTCATATGGGTTTTCTCTTTTGTTCCAGTCCATTTTTCTTTCCCCCATTAATTAATTAGTCTAGGCTGTAGACCAGAACCAATTTGATTTCTTTCAGGAAGGCCTGTGTTAATTTGGATTTGATCTTCTGACCCTGGAGGGTGACGCTGATCGAGCGCCCCAGGTTCACTCACTGAGCTAACGCTGTGATGTCTTGTGGCTGCGACAATGAACAAGTCAGACTTGATGTCTGTCCTCAGTCTCCAGGAAGGAGAAAAGAGTAAATGGATATGGAGGTTGTCCCTGTTGAAGATGAAGGCAGATGCTATGGTCTCAGTGATTTGGTGTCTCCAAAATGCCAGTGTTGAAAACGGCCCCCAAAGTAGGATAGGGGCCCTTTGGGAGGTGATTAGATCTCAAGGTCAGTGCCATCACAAGGGCAATCAGTGCCCTTATGAAAGAGATCTGAGAGCCCCCTTGTCCCTTCCACCACATGAGGACACATCAAGAAAGCACCATCTATGAACCAGGAAGTTGCCCTCATCAGGTGCTGATTCTGTGGGTGCCGAACCTTATCCTTTTCAGGAGGCAGAAATGTGAGGAATAGATTTCTGTTGTTTATTCTGTGGAGCAGCCCAAACCGACTGAGCCAGCGGAGGAATAATAACCAAGAGATGTACAAAAGGAATTAAGCACTAAGGTCAAAGGCAGGAACACACATCAGAAGAATGAGAACCAGAGAAGGGTCAATAGAATCAAAGGAGTGATTAGCTTCTTTTCTGGGAGCAATTTCAGAAAAGCACGGCAGAAGCCAGGTGCACAGGACCAAGCAAGAGGGAGGGATGGTGAGGCAGAGTCAGCCTTTCATGTGCTCCCCAGTGAAGGAACACAAAGAAACCTGGGAACCAGGAATGATGCTTAAAAGACAGGGCAGATGCATAGAGGGCAACTGGTAAAACTGATTACACTTAGATTATTCTTTAAAATATTCTGGCCCCACTGATAGGAAAATAGAGAAATAAATTGTGGTATATTCATAAAACATACCAAATGGTAAACCATTGTTATACACACAATTAAACACATGAATAGAATACATTTCAGAGACATAATTTTGAGCCAAAGAATACATCATGTATGATTCTAATTATGTCAAATTCAAGGATAGACAAAATAATACATAGTGCTAAAGATCAGAACTGTGGTAACCTGGTTGGGGAGTGGGCACAGATGGGGAAGAGCTCCTAGAAATGATCTAGAACAATTTCAGTGATGTACACATATATAAAAAAAAACTCAAGTTGTACATGTGTATGTGTAACCATATACTTTTTTTTACTTCAAAATTTTTTTTTATTCTATGTCTTGATTTTTGAAGTCTTTTAAGTGGAAAAATGAACAGAAGATCTGTATATGTATTATCTGTCACTGTGCAATAAATGACCTCAAAACTTAGCATCTTAAAACAATAAGATTTTACTAGTTCGTGGTTTCTACTGGAATCTGGGAGAAGTTTAACTGAGTGGTTCTGGCTCAGGGTCATCTCATGAGGTTGCAGTGAAGATGTGAGCCAGGGAGGTAGTGCTCTCAAGGCTGGAAGGTCCACTTCCAATATGGCACACTCAAACGTTCTTGGCAGCAGGCAGTTCCTTGCTGAGTGAGCTTCTCCATAGGACTGCTGGGGTAGCCTCACAGCACCGGCAGCTGGTTTCAATCAGAATGAGTGTACAGGAGAGAGCAAGATGGAGCCCACTCTGTCTTATGACTTAATCTCAGAAGTAACCTATATCACACTTCCACAGTGTTCTCTGCATTACTAGATTCCTCTTGAAGCAAAGAGGAATCAAAGGCATATATATCAAAGGCATATCAGAGTTTGTGGGCCTATTTTAAAACCACCACCCCACAGAACAGTGCTACATTCCCAAATGTTTGCAGATCTGGTCGTATGGCAAGAGACCAGGATCTGGGAAGACCCCTGTGGTAGGCAGAATATCATCCCCCCCCCCCCAAAGATATCTGTGTTTTAATTCCCTGAACCTGTAAATGTTATGTTATATGGCAAAGAGGTCTTTAGGTTGCGAATCAGCTAACCTTAAAATAAGGAGAACATGCTGGATTATCCAGAGGGATTCAATGTCATCAAAGGTCCTTTAAAGTGAAAGCAGGAGATAGAGGTGTCAGCGTGGGGCAGCATGAGAAAGACCATCCCGTTATTGCTGGCTTTAAGGCTGGGAGGAGGCCCTGAGCCAAGGGATGTAGGCACTGTTTCAGGGCATTGGGGGTCTCTCCTGGGCTCACAACAGACCAGCTCATGATATCTTAGGGACTTCCCGGTGCTTTACCTGGGACCTTTGTAGAACCAGGATGGATCGAAGGGAGGCAGTGGGGGAATGGAGGGAGAAAACCCTGGGCTAACGACGGACTTCATGGACTTGGAGTCTGAAACGGGCTGGTCTGGAACAACCAAACACAAACGCGACGCTCTGCACACTCATATTCAAGACGGTGACGCCTGTTTGGGCTTTAAACGAAGATTTTTTTTTAATCTCCTAGTGGAGGCCTGGGCACCGGTGCTGGTTTAAGGGGGCAACAAGCCCTGGCTGCACAGCTCGAGGATGGTCCGGGGCTGCTGGCTAGGTGGGAGGCACGTACTCCATCTCATCACAGCGGAGGTAAAGATAAATTAGAAAGCAGCTCCAGATGCCAAGGATGAAAAGGGTTCCCAGGCCTGGCATGGAAGTTTCCCGCTGGTTGGAAAGAAAGGCGGGACCCTGAGGCGGGGTCAGGCGGGCCGCTGGGGGGCGCCCTCCCACCACGGAGCCTCTGGGCAGCAGCCTTAGGCGTGGCCACCCACGTCCTCCTTCCTGGTGCCACGTCCTCTACAACTGAGTGGCCGCGCGGGGCGGCTCACGTCCCTACTCCCTGCACGACCGTGGGGCGGGGTCGATGCAAGGCAGCTGGAGCAGCTCCCTCGGGGATAACCCGCTGAGAGAAGGCCTCCTGTTCGGGTCTACCTACCCCTGATTGTAGTTGGTCTTTAGGGCACACAACAAACATTTCTCCTGCGGAGGACAGAAACGGCACAAGAAAGGTCATTTTTCCCTGCTCCAAGATGGCCCGCCTGCTGGGCACCTCATCGGGCCTTGCTATAGGAGAGGACAGAATGATGCGGTGGAGCAGGGACGTCGGGGGTCAAGCCCTACAGGGTCCTGGCTCGGGAAGCGCCTCGGGCCTCCAAGGCCAGGCAGGTCCGGCGGCCTCCAGACGGGGCGGGGCGGCGGCGGCCCCGGGGGCCAGAGCAGCGGGCAGGCTCCACTTACGCAGCAGCTCCTACACTGAGGAAGGGAGTCCGGCAGCTCCTGTTTGGGTTTGGGTGACACCACCGTGTTCTTGTGGAGAGACAAGACCGCGGCGCCAGCTGCGTCCATCTTCTTGAGCCTGAGCCCAGGGTCCGCTTCGCTCTTGCCCATCAGTTCCTCGTGCTCCGTCCATCCTCTTCGCAGGGGACTGGGGTGGGGGTCAGGGAGGGGCGGAGAGTTGGGGAGACACTTTCTACCAGCACACAGGTGGCCTGGGAGGCCCTGACTCCGAGCCGCGGCGGCAGGAGCCACGACAACCCCGGGAGGAGTCCCGGTCCTCGGCACCCCCAGCGCCTTCCTTGCAGCCGGGGGAGGAGAGCTTGGGGGAGGGGGGGAGACGGGGGTGGGCTACACTTACAGCTTGTTGTTCTTCTGTATATTTATTAAAACCTCCATCTTCTCGTCCATATCCTTCTGCATTTCCTTCAAGAGAGAATTCAAGACTAGAATCTTCCTTCTGAAGACCTTTGAGGTCCGGTCCTTCCACCCTCCTCTGCAAACCGCTGGGCGTCCTCAAGAATCCTCACTAGATCTGGCCAAGGGTTGGGTGGGGTGTCCACGACCACACCCACACCCGCCGCCCCCACCACTCCACGGTGAGACCCAGGCCCCAGGCAGAGCCTTAGGGGCTGACCAAAGTCTCCAGGTAACTGATTGACCTGTCCAAGGTATAAAACCCACAGTTGATTTGGTTTGATGCCTATAAAATGATGGAAGCAAGAGAACAAATCCTGTGACACCAAAGACACTTGACTCCAGTGTTTTGACCCTTGCCTGTGTTTTTACCCAATCCTGGCAGAAATGGCTAACCGAAAATAAAACTGATGGTAGCTGAAATGGTGTGGCACACTTATTGGTCATCAAGAAATGAAAGAATAAAACAAATTTCTTAGTAGAGTTTAGATCTGCAAAACTGGACCTGGGAAAATTGGACAGAAATAGTGGACATGAAAGAAATTATAAGGCGGCCGAAACTATAATTGATGATATTTGTTGTGGACAAAAACAGATTTGAATTGACCATCATAAAATATAAATGAAAATAACTGACTCCAACGAAAGTAATTTTAGTAAAAAGAAAAAAAAAAGATTTGGAAACAGTTTAATTTGACGTAGAAAAATTGGTCAAGGAATTATACTGTTGGGGGGAAACGATTTCAGAAAAACGCCTCTTGAAAAGCGTTTTTAAGTAGTAGTATAAATTTTGAATCAAATGTTAGAATCTATAGTGTGAAACTCTCCTTGAAGACAAGAATACCCCACAGGTTCAAAATGTCAAAGTCAAAACTTCCCATATACTTAGGAACTTGTCGCTTTGAAGTCATCATATTCCAACCGGATCTCCTTTTCCCTTTGAAATTAGCTCTACTTCTTAATTATCCTTGTCATTGTTAACACTCCCGTATCCAGATTCAAACTTCAGTGTCACCATGGACACTTGCCTCGTGAGACTTCATTCTTTATTTTGAGTCTGTCACTGTGGGCCATTATTTCTTTTAATGCATCTTTCAGATTTACCCTTTTCAATCTCTTCCTAAAATTAAAGGTAGTCACCTCTCTTCACCTTGCGGCAGAGGCAGCTCCCCACCTGTGCCCTTGCTGTCAGACAGTTGCACCTGCTCCCACCCTGCCCAAGCCACCTTGCCAGCAGCTGCTCCCAGCATGTTCTGTGATCAGGGATCCCTGGAGGCCTCTCACTACCTACAGAACCAAGGCCCAGCTCGTCTGCTGATTTGCAAAGCTGGCACTGTCCAGCTCCTTTGTGCCATGCAGTTCTATTTCTCACATTTCCCCCAAATGATCCCTCTTCAAGGCTGAGCTCCCCACTGACCACAAACCAAAACGTCCTGCCTGCTTCCTGCTGTGTTCAAGCTGACTTCTGCCTGAAATAGCCTCCTCTGTGCCTTTCCAGCCCCAGCTCCACTCACCAACAAAACTATGGTGTTTGTATTTTAATATAGAAATAATGCACCACCTTTGAGAAAGTGTGGGTGGTACAAAGTCATATTAAAAATCAATCTTCTCATCCCCAAAATAACTGCTATTAGTCCTTTGAGTATATTTATTTCCAGCCCTTTTTTTGGGAGGGGGATAGTGAGGGTTGAACCCAGGAGTGCTCTACCACTGAGCTACATTCCCAGTCCCTTTTTAAAATTTTGAGAGAGGGTCTTGCTAAATTGCCAAGGCTGCCCTCAAACTTGAGATCCTCCTGCCTCAGCCTCCAGAGTCCCTGGGATTACAGGTGTGTCTGCTGCACCCAGTTCTAACCCTTGTTTTGTATATTTACTTAATTTTTTCCCCTAATTGGAAGCAACCTGTATACTACCTTACTTTTATCTTGCTTTGTTGTTCTCATTATAAGAATTCTTTCTAAACATTGTCCTTAATAGTTCCTAATTTTTATTTCATGGATATACCATAATTTATTTGGCTTTTCCTCAATTGTTGAAAATTGTGCTTGTTCCCAAAGTTTTGTTGTTATAAATGATCCTGCAATGAACATTTATTATATAGATTTATGCCACCGTTTCTGATTAATCTCACAAGTTAAATCTGAGAAGCAGAATTAAATTGAAAAGTTTTCATTTATTTATTATTTTGATGCCTACTCTGTTATAAACATTCCAGTTTGTACAAATTTGCAGTGTAAGAACATTTCTTTCTTATTCTCTCCTTGTCATGCATTAAAAAAAATGTTCATTTGTAATTGTCAATTATTTTGCTCGCATGCCTTTACTGTCTAAGGGGTAAAGCTTTTCGATAGACCTACTGCTGCTTGATTATCCACATTTTCTGTGGGTTGTCTGCCCGTGCTCTTGCCCATTTTCCTATTTGGCTCTTATTGATTTGTGTGAGTTCTTTATGTTATAGATAAAAATTCTTTTGTCTGTACTTATATTTGTGGAAAACTATTTCCCCAAACTGTTGTTTCTTTTTAATTTTTTTGTCTGGTACTTTTCTGTCATAATTCTCTTAAGGAAAACTTTTATGTTTAAATATGTCAAGACTTTGTGATTTCTTCCATTGAATTTATATTAAGCCATCTAGGTAAATATTACTTACAGCTTCCTCTTATTGGCTTTTATTATTAAACTCACTTTATAGACTATTTCACTTTACAGTACTTAATTGATTTTTCTTCTTATACAGTCAAAACACCTATAAATATTGTCACCCAATCCTTTTCTCACTGACAATTTAAAATCACCTTTATCATATTTTAAATTTAATAGAACCATAGTTCTCAGCCTTGAGTGAACATTGAAATCACCTGCAAATTTAAAAAGCCTCTTGGAGCTTATACCTCATCCCAAAGGTTAATTGTTATGGGGTCCACCTGGGTGTAAAGTGGGGAGAAGACCAAATCACTGCCAGCTGATTCTAACCTGCAGCCAGGGTTGACCCTGCTGCTGAAGAGTTTGGAACCTGGTTCTCAGCCAAGAGCAAGTATCAGAATCACTTATGGAGTCTGAGACCCCTCTGTTTAATTCTGGAGATTTTATTCAGTGTGTGTAGGCTGGAGCTTCAGCACATGGATTTAAAAAAAAAAAAAATGCTCAGAAAGGTTTCTTAGTCCATCCCTGGCAGAGAGGCTACTGACAGTGTTACTATCCCAGTTTCTTCATTTGTCGGGTTATCCTTGGGCTACACCACCTGATTTGATAACTGTTGTTTTATCTTGAATTTTAATTATCTAGTAAGGGTAGTGCCCCCTTAGAACTCTGGAAACAACTGGAGCTATTTGCTTTTGCCTATTTATACTTCTACATCAGTGGTTCTCAAGCTTTCTCCTGGGGAACTTGGCCAAAACACAACAGCCTATGCTCCATCTGAACACGGGCCTTGGATTGCCCTTTGTTAGTGTTCTGGGTGATTCCGAAGCACGGTTTGTGAACCATGTTCTAGAATCTAGATTACCCTCCCAGAAGTTCTTTTTTTTTTTTTTTTTTAAATCTTATCAGGGCTTTCAACTAGATTTGCATTAAGTTTCCGACATGGTCTTCAAGACTCAACAAGGTTCACTCTCTCCATAAGGATTTCTCCCGTTGTTCCAGCCCAACCTCATTATTCACACCTGTAAATTGATAATTAACTCACAGCCAGCAATTTAGCTTGTAATTCTTTCTTACCATAGAGTATGGGCGGCCTACCAGTGTGTAAGTGCCTGGAGGGCAGGGTCAGGCCATAGTTTGCAGTGTGGTACTGGCCCATGGAAGGCACTCAGTAAATCTTACCTTCATGATTTCCACGAATTCATGAAGTTTATCAAAATCTTTGTCCATTACATCTTTTATCTAATGAGGAAGAAAAGCATGATTTGACCAAGCACAGAGAATATTGTGGAAGTCAGTTGTGTCTTTGGGGTATTTTTAAGCAAAAGGTAGCAGCTGCACCTTGGGAATGGACTAACAATGTCCTATTAAAGCCACATTCTTCCCAAGGAATCTATGAAGGGTCTAGGGTGTACATGCCATCAAGTCGTCCCCACTGTCAGCCACAGTGTGGCTTAGGTCTGGCCAATGCCAGTCTTCCATGTGGAGTTCAGGTCACAATTTCAGTCCTTCCTTTCTTGATTATTCCCTAAGTAGGCTATTGGTGGTTGTATTATAGAAACTCTTGTTATAGAAACTCTTCTTCCCATGCAGCTGGCTCAGGTAAGGTGAATAAGGAGATGCAGCTGGTCTCTGGCTGCCCCCAAATTCCAAGTCAGCCCCTTCCACTCAGCTTTATCCCTGAGGTTCCATCATCCCAACTGTAACACCTTAGGGAGTCCTCAGCCACTAGAAAATTGGGTCCAGGCATCAGACAAATTAGAAATGAGTATCCTAAGCTGCCCAACACTTAGCACTAAGAGGGATTAGGGTGGAGTTGGTGATTGCCTTCTCCTGCACTTCCGATTCCCTTCACTATTCCAAGTTAGGAATCACATTTTCCTTGAAGCTAGGCTTTCCCTCCATATGATGTAAAGATTTACCCCGTTACCTGTTTTATCTCTTCCATTTTTTCCTTGAGCTCTTCTCTCACCTCCCTGAGTTCACTCTGAGAAAATAAAATGGGGGAGAGAGAGTAAAGAAATGTCCTGCCTGGATGAGAAACTGGGTGCAGGAGGAAGGAGCGTTGTTGAAAGAGGAACAAGGAGATACTTCTATAGGGAGGAGAAAAAGTGTTGTCCCCACAAGGGGTCTGGGGACCCACAGGCATCACGTGCCTCCCGCTGGCACTGTGCTGAAAGTTGGGAGTTGTCAGCCTGTGTCCAGGAACATCAGACCAACCAAACTGAGGGTGACTCAGTGAAAGAAATGACCTGTAATCCTCAAAAATGTCAGTGTCCTGAAAGACGAAGGCTGAAGAACCATTCTAGATTAAAGGAAAATGAAGAGACGTGGCAATCAGAGGTGGGCAGGCTCAAAATGGCTTTGGTGAGGTCCCTTGCCAAGGCTTCTGGTGGGCTATGTTTTGGTAGATAAGCAAGGTCATGGACACCTGATTCAGTGTACGTCTTCAAGGTCATAAACATTTGCTGGTGAGCATGTGTCCACTTATGTGACCTGTCGGCACTGTGCCTTCTTTGGCCTGCATGTTAAAAAAGACCTATGGAAATGGCTTGGGGTTAAAGGGAACTGGCTGGGGGCTGGGGCTGGAAAGCTGGGGGCTGGCTAAAGGCCTCACTGCCTCTGCATGCAGCAAACCAACTGTCCCAACTGTGTCTTGCACTTCTTCCACCTGCTGGGATCCTGAATCTGTTTTCTGGGTCTGAGCCTCCGCCTGACAATTGACATAGTTGGTAGGATCTTCCACAGGTTAGAGGTGTGAACAGGGGTGACCTGTGGTTACCAAGCAGCATGTAGCTCTTGGTCACCAAGGTCCTATTAGCATGGACTCCTGTGGAGATTTGGGATACTGTGAATGGTTTCCCTGAGAGCACAGAGAAGACATGTGGTTGCCCTGAGGTGAACAGGAGCCCAGTGGGGGAGACTGTGAATGAGAGAGGCAGAGTCCAGGCACTGGACCATGGCCCAGAAGAAAGGTGGCAGCAGCGGTGCAGACAGGACCGAGAGGGGGCCTGAGGAGCCACACAAGGGTCCGATAGGGCCAGGTGATAGGTGTTCCTTACAGATCTGAGAGCAGAGACTGATGTGACTTTGTGAGCGACACTGCCAACAAGGGAGTTGCTAGACACGGAGAAGACCTTGGAAGCCGAGCACGTCGCTGGAGGAAGATCTCTGCACCTTGGAAGTACTCTTTGGCCTCCCCCATGTGCTGATGGAGTCCAAGGAGTAGGAGATTAGCACCTGCAAGCCCAGCCAGGGGTGATGCGGAAGGTGAAGGCAGCAGGGCCAGCGTGGGTAACCAAGTCCGCCACGTTCTGCCTTTCAAGCGGAGTTGGAGGACTTAGGAGAACAGTTTAAGGCCACTTTGTGTCAAGCCTATGAGACTTAGGGGTGCTGGGAGCCAACAGGGGCAAGACCCCTCTGTGCTACGTGTCCTGCATAACCTTGTGACTCAGATGGGCTAGACGGTGCCCAAGTGTGCCAGGACTCAGCAGAGACCAAAAGAGAGGCAGCAGAGACAGGAGGCTTCAGGAGGTGCCAAGGCCTATTACTTACGTAGGGGAACCAGAAACAAGCCCAGACCTTGGAGGTAAGGCACCTGTACTGTCCAGTGTACTGATAACCCCAGCTGTGGACAACTGCCTGGGTGGACGGTGGTGACTGAGGAGCCAGAGACAGACTGGGTCTGGTTTGAAACCAGTGCGAGACAAAATAGCCGGTGGGCTGAGCTGAATGGAAGGCAAGTGAAGCATCCCCGCAGTGGTGCGCGCTGCCAGTTGTGTTGTGGCAGGAAATCTAGGAGCTTGGCCACCAAGAACAAACGGCTGCAGGGCATGCTACCGGCCCTGCTCCCCTGACTAGCCCAGGGGGTGACGAGGCAGACCCTTTGGCTAGGCTGCAGTGCTTCGAGAGGCCCCTCCCGCCGGCCTAGTGGCTTGGTCGCATCCCCGCCTGCAGCATGCAGGTGCGAACGCTCTGTGGGACGCAGTCGAACAACGGGCCTGCCTTTGGCCCGGAATGTCCCGATAGAGGCCTGCCACACATGTATGGTTTGCGCCAGGAGTGTCCACACCCACGACACCGGGAGCCACGGATAGCGTAGCCAGGTAATGCGTGGACACGTCCCCTTGACAGCATTGGCCCTCTACTGAGGTCAGAGGGGCCCTGTTTGTTTTAACAGCAGTTGATCCAGTGGGTGGCCTGGCCTGGTGGTCAAGGGAGTCGGCGTGCTACGTACGGTTCCTGCCCTGACCGTGTTCGTGGCCTGGGCAGCTGGCCCATCGTAATAGAGAGTGATCAAGGCCCCCATTTCTAGGCTGGGGTGTGCATCGGGGGGCAACTCCAGGACAGATTCAGTGAGAGCCGAACATCCCACACCACCCACCGGCTGCAGGCATGAGAGAGAGAGAGGCCTGCTTAAGCAGGGACTTAGGACTGCAGTTACCCGCCCTCTAAGAAGGGAGGACACAGTGTCTGTGGGCAGTTACGTGAGCTCTGACTGAGCCTCCCTGGCCAAGGGGAACCACCTCCTGTGGAGGCTTTGCTGCATCACAGCAGTCCCAGTATAGGTCCAGGTGACAACAGAGGATGTTGCACTTAAATCTGGGTTTGGGAAGCAAGGGAATATTCTTTTGCCTGCCCTGAATGAATTGAATAGGGGGCACACTGTGGATTGCACATGGCCCCAGACAATAAAGGCCTCACACCTTTGTGGGTGGCCCTATCAGCCCCATGGGGAAAAGATTTGGAATGTGACCTCCTTGTAACACTCTGGGTAACTAGTAAATGTTCCCCTCTCCCCCGCTGGTTACATGTGACTTGGCCAGGTCCTGCAGATGGGACACAGATTTTAAAGGGCACTTTTGTTATTTCCCTTCAGCCAATTATGAGTTCCCCAGTGATGGTGCACCCAGAGCCTGCTCAAGTTCAGGGCCAAGCTGTGCGGGTGTGGTATCACTGCTCGGGGACGCTGCCACAGACGGCCACAGCGCTTTCCTGGGACTCAATGCTGGCGTACAATCTTCTGGATGGACGTGATTTACCTGTACTAGTGCCCCTAACAGTTCTAGCCAACACCATCGTGGACTGGGCACACAGCTACCCCAGCGTAGCGAACACCTCTGCATTCTGGATGTGCACAGAAGTGCCTGTGAGTTCAGGCTGCTGGACAGCCCTGGTGAACCCAGACTGCTTCCTGGACAATTGGACACGACTGGGAAGGACTTCTATTGCCACCTCAATATGGGATGAAACTGGCAATAGTTTTTAGTAATCCTAGGTGATGGGGCTTATTTTCTGCTTATATAATGTTGTAGGGCGGGGGCTCTGGCTCAGCGGTAGAGCGCTTGCCTAGCATGTGTGAGGTCCTGGGTTCAATCCTCAGCACCACATAAAAAAAATAAAGAAATAAAATAAAGGTATTGTCTCCAACTACAGCTAAAAAAAAAAAAAATATGTTGTTGCAGCTTGTATTGTTGTGGCCTGTGGATGCAGAGTTCTACACTCTTGACTAAGAGATATTGTGGAAGACAAAAATGCATAGATTGTACAGTGAGAAGTCCTAAAGGGGTGGATTGTAGGGCAGGCCCCAAATGGCTTTGGCCAGGCACCCTCACTAAGGCTTCCACTGGGTTGCTTTTAGTACGTAGCCAAGGTTATGAACACCCTGATTCAGTGTAGGTGCTCAAGGTCATAAACAATTTTTTTATGAACATGCGCCCACTTAATAACCTGTTGGTAGTGTGCCTTCTTTGGCCCACTTATATTTAAAAAAAAAAAGGCTTATGAAAATGGCTCAGGGGCTTAATGGAGCAGCTGGGGCTAAATGGAACTGGCTGGGGCTGAAGAGCTGGGGGCTGGCTAAAGGCTATCACCACCTCTGAATAAAGCATGTCTACTATCCCAACTGCGTCTTGCACCTTATTCCACCTGCAGGGATCCCGAATCTTTTTCCTGGATCTGATACTCCGCTCGACAGGCAGCCTGTGGTCCTGGACTAGATCCTAGGCCAGAAAAAAAGGTGGGTTTTGTTTTTGTTATTGAAAACATTAGTGAAGCCAGGCATGATGTTTCACGCCTGTAATCCCAGTGATTTGGGAGGCCGAGGCAGGAGGATCACAAGTTGGGGACCTACCTCAGCAACTTAGTGAGACCCTAAGCAACTTGGTGAGACCCTGTATCAAAATAAAAAAATAGAAATAGAAATAGAAAAGGGCTGGGGATGTGGCTTAGTGGTAGAGTGCCCCTGGTTCAATCCCCAGGACCAAACTAACAACAACAAAAACCAGAGAGAAGCAAGTTGCAGGGTGGTAGGTGCCTACAGGTGCAGCCACCAGAAGGTGACTGACTTCCAGCTCTCCAGGGCACTGGTCCTGTCCTGGTTACCTGGGCTTACGCACTGACCTTCAGTTCATGTGTTATTCCTGATTTGTTGAATGGACCTTGGTGTTTAACTCCTTTGTAATCACACATCTGTTGATTGAAACAGAAACAGAGCGTTGGAAACTAGGTATGTGGTAGGACTGCAGGGGCAGATCACCCTGAGTTTCTGTCTCTCCCTAGGTACAGGACAGAGGTGAAGGCTGGTGGCCTCACCTGTGCAGAAGTTTCCCTCCTCCTCCTCCTCCTCCTCTGAGCTCATCTTTGGGCCTCACTATTTCTGTCTCTTACTTCTCCCTGGGGGGCCTCTGTGTATGCTTCTTCCTTTACCTAGAAGGCTCCTCCATCTTTGCCTCACCAGCATCTTCTCCTTCAGCTCTTGTTCCAAGAAAGTTCTTTCCCAACCACCCCATCTAAAGCAGGCACCCAGTCCCGCCTTTCTATCTTTCTTCTCTGAATAGCTGGTAATACTACTGAATTTTCCCATGTTTATTTACGAGTCTCATTGGTGGCTAGTGTGAAGGTCTATGAGAGCAAAGAGCTTGTCTCTCCCATGGCATCCCCACGGCACCTGGGATGGGTCTTGGCCACCACAAACAGCAAATGACCCCTGACTCCAAGTCACCTCCCCACGGATCTCAGGCCTGGCTGCTGGCATGGCCTCAATAAAGCTTCTTCCTTTGATCATCTCTGGCTTCAATTCCAGGTAAACTGTCTTGTAGTTCTTGCCCTGCAGAGAGAGGAGATGGAATTTAGTCAGGATTGGGGGAAGAGAACGAGGAGCCAAAGGACCTTCACCAACCCTCCCTGTCCAGCTGTGCTTGAGCCCAGGCTCACACACCCCGGGATCCACAGCTCAACCCCACCCTGTCCGGTGCCAGTGAGTGCTGCCCCCCACTCGGCAGGCAAAGGACGCTTGTGGAGGCAGCTCTAAGGAAACCTCCCAGGAGTCTGGTCTTGGGATCAGCAGACCAGGCCCCCCCTCAGCTATCCTTTCCTCTAGCTGCGCCCACTTGGGTGAGTTTTTAATCCCTCTTGAGCCTCCGTTTCCTCATCTGGAAATAAAACATAATTCTATTTCTCTAATAAGGTCATCTGAAGCCTTCGGCCTGCCGGTTGGATGCAGGCCTGACGCAGGCCACTGGGGTCATGAGGCTGCGAGAAGTCTTGGGGAGCAGGGAGGAGTCAGAGAGCCTCTCCTTCCCGTCCCGAGGCCAAGCATTAATCCTGCACCCATTCCAGGCTGAGAGCCCGCTTTGTGCGGCTCTCAGAACAGCCAGAACAGAGGCAGAGAAGCCGAGGTGTGGTCAGAGCCTTCTTGGTATCTGTCCTGCCCTGTCTCCTCTCAGCTGAAGCTCAAAGAAGCCCCCCGGAGTCCAGGGGTGTTCTTCCTTTACCAAGCCTGTTTTCTCGAATTCTGCCCTCTTGGCTGACATGACGGAAGAAGCCAGGGTGTTCTTCAACTTCCCAACCTCCCCACAGTAGCCCCCCGGGACCAGGCCACCGTCCCGTGCAACTTACAAGCCAAGGTGAGGGCAGGATGACCACCTCTTTGTGTGCGGAACAGCTGAGGTCACAATGCCTAGGACCCACATGCTGGCCTGGAGCATCACCACAGCTTTGGGCCCCACTGCCTCTGTCACTGAGACGAGGCTCAGACTGCTTCCAAATCCAGGAGGCCCCCTCTTGCTGTGTTTTTGGGAAGACTCACACTGCTGAGGACCATGGCCTGCCCTGGCCAAAGCACAAGGCACACCTCCAGAGAGCCGATGGCTCTTCCCAGCGCAGGACAAACACTGACTAGGCAGAGCGGGCTCCTCCTAGACAGGCAGCCGGCTTCTCCTCTGGGCCGGTGTCTTCTCTACTGCGTTCTCCCACCCCACCCCCATCTCCTGCCTGGTTCTTCTGTCTTCCTGGAAGTGGGCTGGGGCAAGAAGTAGTATCTGGACAGGGCTAAAGGCAAGAAAGCCTTTGTCGAAAGGAGTGGAATCCCAAAGGAAAGGCCATTCTGAGAGGTAGTCGTAATTGGTGCTTAAAATGGGGAGTCAAAGGCACATGGCATTCTCATGGGGCCTAAAATCATTTAGAATCCCAGTTGGTGAGTCTAATTTCCCTTCTGTCCTAACTGGGTATCCCACTTCCTTCTTTTCCCCTTGTTTCAAGGCCAACTAGTCGGCACAGAAAAGGCCAGCTTGGGCCCTCAGAGCAGACAGCCCAGCAGTGGAGAGCTGATCCGGAAGGCCAGTGGACTACGTGGCCCATCAGAAAACAGTCACCGCTCACAGTGCTTCTGACGCACTTCCTAGGTGGTGATTGCCAAGCCCCCTAACTGGTGACAGCCCTGGATGGGACTCATCACAACTGAAGGAGAGCTTTTGTGTCACTGTTCAGCTGGGGAGTCGGGAGGGGCGGCCTCCTTTCCAAGCCTTGTTTCCTGCTGGGTAATTGAGGGGTCCAACTGTAAGCTTCCTTTACCACCTAGCTCAGTCCTCCCAGATCTGCTGGCCACAGGGAAGGAGGGCACTTTCTCCAGTGTCCAAAGACCCTTGACAAGGCAGATCAGGGAACTGTGGGAAAATGACTGGCTCCGTCTCAGCATTCCAGCCCTTGGGAGAGGGTATGTCTTTCTTCCTCTTGCTTTGGCTTGAGGGCCTTGTGGACTGCGGCGGTTTCCTTTGCTTAGCTAAGCAGCTGTTAGGTGAGCTGCCTTCTAGCCAAGCACAGCGCAGGAGCTCACTGCCTTATGCATTAGGGAAGTCGATTTAAAAGAATCAAGGGCTCTTTGTGAAACTGCTTTGTTAAGTAAATTATGTGCCCCCCTCACACTTGCGTGTGCATATGATATCATCATTTGGACAGAAATCTAACAGCAGACCACAGCTCCGGGCTGTGCCTTCTCAAGTATTTACCATACATCACGGTTGGTATTGATGGGCTCTGAATGGCTGGGGAAATCCATTTGGTGAACCTGGATAAATGAGTCACATTCTTCTTTCAGAAGATTAGAAAAGAAGATCATTTTGCAGCTGTGTGGAGACTGGGTTGAAGCAGTACTGCTGGAACTGCCGCGGTGTGGCCTTGTTCCATGCAAGCTGAGGCCGCTCTCCCCAGAACACCAGGTGTGCGCTCCTGGACCCTCGGCAGCATGGTCCATGTACACCAGAGCACCGAGCAAAAGCCCACTGATGTTCCACCAGAATCTGGGGAAAAGGGATATTTAAAACTGAGAGGAAGAGGCAGCCACATGTCTCCTTTCTCCAAGTTGATATTTTGGATTTCTTTACAAAGATCCTTTTTTTTAAAAAAAACTTCCACTTTCATGAAAATAATGTTGAGGGAAGCTGGAGGGGGTGGTGTTAAAAAATGGGCTTTAGCCTCTGACTTTGGCTTCTTGTGATTGCGGAAGTACAAATTCCAGGCTCTAGCCCACAATGAAACCCAGGCTCAGTCACTACCTGTGTGGAGGCCCAGAGAACAGGAAGAAAATGTCTTGGTGCTTAGGGGCCTATTTGACCACTGGGGGCCCAATGTTCTAAAGCCCTTTGATTTGGATGGAATGTTTCATTGGAGCTGTTTGATGGAGTTGATTGGAGTCGTCATCTCCAATCAATGTCACTTGACATAGTTCCCTATAGGTGAGCCAGCTAATGTGTTTCTCTGGCACCCAGCAGTTCATATCCCAATACACTAGACTCTGGGTGGCCGTCCTCACATAGGGAAGCTGCCTGCTTCATAGCCCCAGGGAAGCTCTTACATAAATTTTCTAGAGAATTCATATGATTGTTTCATGAACTGTCCTATTTGATTGATTTAACAGACACCCTGCAAGGCTTATTCTATGCAGCACACAGATAATGTTAGTCATTGACACAGTGATCACCATGCGATTTCCAATCATTTCTGTAAATTGTGTCTAAGACTTTGGCTAGAATCTTAATCCTATTATATTGTTTCAGTGGGAAGACTAGAGGTTTGTATCATATGAACCTCTATTTCAGGAACAAAACATAATCTGAACAGCTCATTGTAAATCTCCAGCTATTTCAATATAGCTGATGGTGAGTGAAGAGTTTCATTAAGGTGGAGTGTGAGGATTGCGGGCTTCTCTCTCCTGTGTATTCCTCACGATGGGGAGACACTGGCCAGGCTCCAGGAGCCCAGGGGAACCCATTACTGTACCCACAACTAACTTTCATGGAGAAGCCTGCGATGTGAGACCAGGCAAGAGCCATCAGCCACCGGAGGCTCTTGGGACTTCCAGAGTTAGTTTTCCGTCTTTGGACAGGACCCAAATAGGGGAGGGCAGTTATGTCCCTCCTGCCTCTTTCAGCTTCCCTGCTGGAAGGCTCTCTCCAGCCGCTCTTCCAGGCCCTCACAGCCTCCTCTCCATCTCTGACACCTTCAGATTCCCATTTGTCACTGAAACAAAGCCAAGGGACACCATATACTCTTTGAACTAGCTGTTTTGGGGGACTACGCTTCATGTGGTGTCCTTCCTCACAGATGGAAGGCTCCATGGGTCCATCCTAGGAGGACTCTCCCACTCACATTCCTGTGGCTGGAACATCACCCCAAGGCCACACCTGACTGCAAACGATGCTGGCCAGTGTGGCCAAGCTCCTGAAAATAAGGGTAAATAGATCTAAGGAGCAGGCACCAGTCCCTGCCCCACTTTCCTTTCTTATTGCACTCCACCAAGTATCCTTATAAGTAAACTGGATATAGAGTTCTTGTGGCTTTAGAATAAAAGGGAGGTAATTTACAAGATCCAAGGGGAAATCTACACTGGCTATTGACCTGGGATGAAATCTCTGATCCAATGTGAACTAGCAGGGTTAGACCAACTTCTTTGTTACCTGGCTGGCCAATGAGTAGGGACATTGAGACAGAGATTATTGTATGATCTGTGTGCACAGGGTTTTCCAGTACAATAGCTCCAGTCTATCCCGGACCCACGGCTGTAGAAGACGCTGGAAGCCACCCTCCCACAGCAGGCTCATCCCTCCTTCAGCCACTAGAATGTGGGGTATGGGGTGAAGCTTCTCCTCCTGTTCTAAGTCCTCTGACGAGCACTGGAGCCCACTCAGTTGCCCAAAACACTACCTGACCTGTCTGGGGTTTGCGTTCTGCCATTGTCCTTTCAGATGAGAATCTGTATCCTGCTTCCCAGGAGCCTTTGTTTCTAGCCCCACGAAGCTCCCTGAACTTGACTCCTTCCTGAAGATGTCTACTTTGGGGCCCAATCCACCAGACCTGGACAAGAATTCAGAGTGGACCAAGCATTTGCAGAACTTGGAGACAGTGCTGAGGTTTTCCACATCTGATTTACCTCCTTCTCTCGGGCATTCTGCCCCTGAGGTCATTAGCAACTCTGAGTTGAATTCACATGAAGACTCTTCCAGAAGTGTGAATCTTCTTCCCTTGGTAGAGGTCCTAGGGCCTGGACTGGGGACAGAGCAGTTCTTTCCTGAAACTTGGAGAACTGAGGTTAATGCTTGAATGAGCCTCCAGATGGAGGAGCCAATGGCAGATTTTGAGAGCCATTGTGGAGCAAGCCAAGGTAAAAGAGAGAAGTGAGAGGCCAGAAAACCAGCCAGGGCTCAGCCAGTCTTGGCGGAAGCTCTCAAGGTGACTGAGTTGTGAGCAGGAGCATCTGAGTGCACTTAAAGACTAAGAAGTAGGTGTTTTTTTCCTTTTAAATTTTGTTTTTGTGGCACTGGGGTTCAGACCCAGGGCCCCAACATGCCAGGCAGCTCAACAACTCTACCACTAAGCCACATCCTTAGCCTGGATTTTTTTCCTTCATTGGTAGAGAGCATTGGTAGGCTGTCCGTTTTCCTAGAACTTGAATTCAACGGATTCCACATTTTTTAAAAAAAATTTAATGTCAAGATATGTGACTGCTCTGATCCAGCTTAGACTTAACAAAGCTAAAAAACCATGCAGGCAGGTCCACTTTGGTATGGAGGATGTGAACTGGGCTTTGGTTTATCTCCCAGGCCTACGATGAGTCATGAGCAGAGTGCGGGTGCTAGCTCTCAGTGGAAGCTAAATCTGAACCCAGAGTTCTTCAAGGTGGTTCTGAACATTGTTCCTGGGCCTCCAACCCTCTTTCTCCAACCCTCCTAACAATTAAAGGAGCTTAATGTGGATTCTCTTTGCCACCAGGACCCTGATGGAGTTGGCCACACTCCTGCTCATCTCTGGGAGATCCCACGTGTGCAGCCACCTGGGGAGTTGTGGGGCGAGGTGTTTTTGTCAGTGAAGAAGGGCTCATCGGGGTCCTCGTGTCCCCACCCCATGCTCTTCGGTGATTTGGGCTTGACTCGCTGCCGAATCACTTGTCTTGCTCAAGTTTGTTCATCTCTCTGAGCGTCCTCCCCTGAACTGTGGGGATCATGGTGGTCTCCCTGATGTGGCTGTCATGAGGATGGCA